AAAAAAAAAAAAAAAAAAAAAAAAAAAAGGACAACTCAAGTAACTCGGGTGTTTAGCCAGGAGACAGGATATGGGGTGGCCTTGAGTAGTTGAATTCTAGGCCTTTTAACAAGCTATTTCTTCTGCATTTCTGAACTTGTCTACTTGGCCTTAAGTACTCCTGTGTAAGTCCTTCAAGGCCAAGACACCACCTCCTCTAGAAAACACTCCTTGGGCCGGGCGTGGTGGCTCACACCTGTAATCCCAGCACTTTGGGAGGCCAAGGCAGGTGGATCACAGGAGGTCAGGAGTTCAAGACCAGCTGGCCAACATGGCGAAACTCTGTCTCTACTAATAATATAAAAATTAGCCAGACATGGTGGCGCGGGCCTGTAATCCCAGCTACTTGGGAAGCTGAGGCAGGAGAATTGCTGGAACCCAGGAGGTGGAGGTTGCAGTGAGCTGATATCACACCACTGCACTCCAGTCTGGGCGACAGTGCGAGACTCCATCTCAAAAAGAAAAAAAAAAAAAGAAAAGAAAGCATTCCTGGATTCCCCAAGGCCAGGTGAGAGGGCTCCATCCAGAGCCTGCGTTTCCTCTTCTCAGCTCTGCTCACAACGGAATGGGGTCAGTCGGCCCTGTAGCAGTGCTCTGTGCAGGTAGGTGCTGGCCTTTCCAGCTCGCACTATATCTCGGTGGGATACAGCTTCAAAGCCCATGCTCTCAGATTATTTGCTGATTACAATTTGGCTGCTGCTACAAGGAGATCTCGGTACAAGATAAGAAAATTAACTTTTTTGGCCAGGCGCGGTGGCTCACGCCTGTCCCAGCCCTTCGGGAGGCGGAGGCGGGCAGATCACAAGGTCAGGCGATGGAGACCATCCTGGCTAACACGGTGAAACCCCGTCTCTACTAAAAATACAAAAACAGGCCGGGCGCGGTGGCTCACGCCTGTAATCCCAGTACTTTGGGAGTCCGAGGCGGGAGGATCACAAGGTCAGGAGATCGAGACCATGGTGAAACCCCGTCTCTACTAAAAATACAAAAAAAAATTAGCCGGGCGCGGTGGCGGGCGCCTGTAGTCCCAGCTACTCAGGAGGCTGAGGCAGGAGAATGGCGTGAACCCGGGAGGCGGAGCTTCAGGGTGTGCCCTGTCGCCCAGGGTGGAGTGCAGTGGCACAATCTCGGCTCACTGCAAGCTCTGCCTCCTGGGTTAACGCCATTCTCCTGCCTCAGCTTCCTGAGTAGCTGGGACTACAGGCGCCCGCCACCACGCCCGGCTAATTTTTTGTATTTTTAGTAGAGACGGGGTTTCACCGTGTTAGCCAGGATGGTCTCGATCTCCTGACCTCATGATCCGCCTGCCTCGGCCTTCCAAAGTGCTGGGATTACAGGCGTGAACTCCCGTGCCTGACCATAGAGTGATGGTTTCTATATGTCAGGGGCTCACAAGGGGCTCTGAATGTGCACAGTCACCAACGTCCCCATTTTACAGTAGAGCAAACTGACAGAGAGAAGAAGGGACCTGCCCAAGGAAACACAGTTAACAACTGCAGGTGTCAAAAGAGAATGCGGGTTGACTGGCCCCACGGGGTCACCTCTCCAAAGCCCCAGGAAACTACAGCTGCCCTCTGGATGCCACAGCCCAGGCCAGCCATCCTGGGTGCCCTGCGGTGCCCTCACACACCTGTCTATCTCGTCCCGGCTGAGCACCTCCTGCTTCTTCAGTGCTTTGATGGCGTAGTATTTCCCCGTCCCCTTGAACTGGACCAGGAGGACCTGGGGCCAGAGACAGGTTGGGGTCCAGGTGGGCCGCACCAGGGAGCCTTTACCACCCACACAGATCAGGTCCTCCCGGCTCATGTGATGAGGCCCCCAATCCTGTCCCATACCACCCTCTTCAGCCCACTACCTTCCCAAAGTGTCCCCGGCCCAGCACGGCTAAGCAGCGGAAGTCCTGAAGCCGAGGGGGTTTCCTGCAAAGAAAGAGAGGGTATAGGAAGTCCCCTACGGCAAGGGCTGGGTCCCTACCCAGAGCCACTCCAAGCCTCCCATGCCCAGTCCTGGGCTGTCTCAACCTATGGGCTCGAGAAACCCCTGCAGGAAGGGCTCCTAGAAGCTGGCATAGAGCTGGAGCTCAATAATGTGGGTTTAGCAAATCAGACCCCGAGAGCCAGCCAGCGCGTGGGCCAGGGAGCCACGGAGTAATGTATGATGGATACACAAATGTTCAAGTAAGCAGACGAAGGTCTCAAACATGAAGGTGCGCAGGATGTGGGTACCTGGTGGGGGAGGCTGGTGGAGATGGCCCACGTCGAGTCCTAGGCTCCATGTGGGGGCGTTTGGTGCGCTGTGAGGACAGAAGAGCTCAGGGCAGGGCTGGGCTTCCTTCTTTCTTTCCCTTTAGGCCTGCCACCCCACAGCTGGGTGAGCCCGCCAAGCCCAGCCGGTCCCAGGAGCCACTAGTCCCTCCAGCCCCTCACCGGAGTCTCCTCGAATGTTGGCTCCTGCGGGAGGTAGAGGCGCGGGGGCTTGGGTGGGGGTGTCATCTCTTCGCCCAAGGGGGTCTTCTTGGGCAAGAAATTACTGTAGGGAGAAAGTAGACACAGTGCCCAGCACAGGCAGATGCAAGAGCTGGCAGGATGGACACACCAACCTGAAGTGAGATGGACAGAGGGTTGGGGGCTGAGCAATATGGGCAGACAGACAGACAGACACCGCCTGCATCTGGAGCCCCACAGCTGCCACAGAGGAGGGTGCAGTCTAGGGCGACAGGGCTCCTCACCTGGGAGTGGCAGGGTCCGAGGCCTCTCGTGATGTTGTTGGGGTCCGAGGGCACCCTTTGGGGGGGCTGATCGTGCTCGGGGAGCTGCAGGGGGGCAGCAGGTTCATGACGAGGCGCCCCCAGGCCGCCATGCTGAGGTTCATCTGCGAAGCCCTCAGGAAGTCCTGGCCTGGGAGAAAAGGGGACCTGAGTCTCGGGGCCCCAGCCCTGCTCCCTCGCACATAGCCCCCATTCCCTCCACACCTCTGCGTTTAGAGAAGATGCGTTCCTGCCTCTGCAGCCGGGGCCGCCTCTCAATGACAGGATCGCAGAAGGTCACCTGCAGGGGTAGGGGCAGGGTTGTGGACCAGTCGCCTCCCATCTCACCTGCCATGGCACCTCCTCTGCCCCTGGGATCACAGCCCAAGCCCCCAGGGTCAACAGATGCAAGAGCCGGAAGGACCCAGAGAAACAGATTCAATGTCCTCATTGAGACTAGCGGAGAAACAGAGGCCCAGGGAGGACAGCACTTTTCCAGGCTCACACCTGAGGCAGGGCAGTCAGGACAAGGACCCAGGCCTCCAGATGCAGCCCTGAGAGAGCGGCTAGGAGTCCTTATTCTTGGAGACCTCCTCTCTGGTCCTCAATCTCTGCACCTACATGCAGTGCATTGGTCTTGAAGGCCTTCCTGGCCCCGACGCCCCCAGGGGCCCACCAAGTCAGAGGGCGGAGGTGGTGAGCACCTGGGCAAAAAGCAGCCCCTGTGGTACCAGGCTGAGGGACAGCTGGTGACAGGCATTGTCCAGGAAGTCCTCAAGTCTCAGGAAGGCCACGCCACATAGCTGCCGCCAGTCCCGCCAATGCACCCCAATCTCCAGCTCACGGGCCTATATTGGGGAGGCCAGGCTGAAGGGTGGGGTGCAGAACAAGCCCCGACCTGGGCAGCCTCCCACCCCGCAGCCCAGGGTCACCCCTGACCACACAAAAGCAGCCTTACTCGCTCCAGTGGAATGACAAAGGTCTGGTCCCAGGACTGTTCGGCCACCGGCCCCCAGCCCGTCTGCCCCACAACGCGGTTGTCCACCTTCAGCACAGCCAGCACCTCGCCTGCAGGGCCAGAGCTGGGGCTCAGCACAGGCCTGAAGCAGGGCTCTCCTGCCCTCCCTGAAGCTCCTTCCCTACTCACTGGCAAGCTCGCCTCGGCCACGCTGCTGCTTGGCCCTGGTCCGAAGCCAGCCCTCGGAGGGGCTGCCAGCCAGTGCAGCCGCCGGGGAGCGTCCAGGCACGGCTGCCAGCAACTGTTCACAGCCCAGGAGACGGACCTGCAGTGTCCCTGTGGTGAGGGTGGGCGGGGGGTGTTGTCAGATGCCATCTTCCCACTGCTACCACCAAAGTGTCCTGGGACCCCAGGAAGGCCACCCTCTCCAGGAGGTGGCTGAACCCAGACCCTACCCACCTGAGGCCAGGGCAGCTACCTGAGAAACCTCACTCAGTATGGCAGCCTAGAGTGCCTGGACAGGAGCCTGCTGACTGCCCTGCAGCTTCCAAGCACCATGAGCCCCCGAAGGGTGCCCTTGGACCCCGATGACAGCCTGGGAGGCCTCCAACCTGGCCACTCCCAGGGGAGGAGCCACCTTGTTCCAGACTGCACGCTTCTCTGTGGCAGCCACCTCTTTCCAGGGCAGAGCAACTGGCTCTCCCGTCTATATGCTGGAGCGGCAGGGACACAGGCTCAGACCTCAGACCTCAGCCAGGCTGCACAGACACAGCACATGATGAGATGCTGCCCAGAGCTGGGGCCTAGA